CTTCATTGCTGTTTTTCCCTCACTTCCCCTTATCGGTGTTGCGCGTGGTCACCAATCAGAGCGTGTATTCCCATTGAGTCTAAGTCTTGGAAGGGGGTTTGCACTGAGGGGACCCGACCAATCGCCTTGATATTTCCTGGGCAAGCAAGTTGCTTGTTCTTGTAGTAACAGTCGGTCTACCTATGTTGTTTTATATTTTTCCTGTATGCCTTTCTTTCAAGAAGTATCTTCTGTTTATTTTTTGTAATGTTTTATTGTGAATTATGTGATAGTTTACATGGGAGAACAGTAGTTTTACATTCATCCTATCCTATATCTTTTCATTGTCATGGCTCAAGTTTTTAAGACTGGTTGAAGCAGAGGTGTAGTGGGGGCTCAGTCAGCAGCTGTACCTTGGAATGAATGTCTAGGGAGGCATTGACTGGGGAAGAGGGAGGACCCGTTTATAATTTTGCTCTTTGATCTTAGCTCAGGGCCTCCGTTTTTTCAACAGTCCTGTGTGGAACTCTGCTCCCGTTCATTCTTGGGAACAAACTGACTGAGTGATCCTAACGTGTCTCTCTACTGCCAGAGTCTAAATGCCCTACTGGCCACTCACTCCCAGCAGTTTACCACATGAGACCACTTCCCATCCCTCTGCAGCCTCACCCTTCTTCCCTGAACCAGCCATGTTCATTTACCACCAGGCCTTGACTATGCCTTTCCTTCTGCCCAGAATACCTCTTCTTGTTTTCACTGTCTCGTAAACCTCAAGCCTTACTTTGCCTTGACCCCTCTGGGCAGTCATTTCTGTTCCTAAAGGCCCAAAGCAGCTTTCTCAACTCTGGATTTTTACAGGAGGTTCAGCCTTGGGGTGAGACAGATTTTATTTCAAAGACTCACTGTGTGATCTTGGACATATCACCTCCCCTCTGTCAACCTCTGCTTCCTCATTTCTAAACTGGGCTACATGATCCCTAAATACAGAATTATCAATGTATTTGAAGGACATCATCAGTGCAAAAGTCTGTATGGGAGGAGAGGTGTCGGGGGGTGGAAACCTGAGTTTGCAGAGCCTGATGGCTAATCTAGAAAGCCTTCACCTTTATCAAAAAACAGGAGAGGAACTGATAGAGATATAGGTTGAACAAACATCACATCACACTCCCTGCCCCAATAGTGTAAAGAAGGGTCAGGTGTGTAACAGTCATTTCGGTTCAGAGTAGAAATTCCTAAAAGATTGACTGGTTAATCAAATGGCTAAATAAAGGCAATTGGCTTCTGAATTTGGACACACCAATTTGACAAGAACCTTTTCTGAACAAACTAATCTGGCATCAACTGCCATGGGGAAGCCCCGCCCCCTACCGCCCCGCCCCCACACCTCAGACAGGCCTGTCTCCTAGCAACTTTCAAACAGAGCCTGGTGGCTTAGTCTTGCAGAGCTTCTTCCGCTATGAGCTGTGCTGATAGTCCTTGGAGACTCCCTGGGGCGGCTGTTGAGTGAGGTGTGAAAAGCTGGCACTAAATTTTGAGTCCCGGCCTGCTGCTTAGAACGTCTGGTCACAGGTACCACAGGACCTTTCCACCCTGAACCAGGCCACCTTGGCCACCTCAACCAAGCCATCCCTTTCTTCCTGGTTCTGTACAGAACAGGGTCTCCTTTGTAGCGTTAGCTTTCACAGACCCTAGACTTGAACCCGTGCCCCAGAGGCCTCACCTTTCCTTGGCCTCACAATGCTCTTGTACATGCGATCTCCTTCTCTTGGCTTGTCTTTTCCCAAATGGCAAGCCCAAATTGTGTTTTGGAACAGCTCCCAGAGGCCTCCGAGGAGTGGAAGTTTAGGAGAGTGACCCTCCATGGCTGTGGTACCAAGGGCACTGCACTCATGTGGGGGGTAGACATTCATTAAGCAGGAAGTACTTCCTGCCTGGTCTCAGGCAGGGTAGATCAGAGACTCCATCTTGTGAAATGGCTGCTCAGTATCATCATTTACTGCCATTCAGTGGTCCCTGAGATTCTTCCTAGTACCAGCACTGTGCCAGGCCTGAAGAGCACAGGGAGAGGGGCTAGCAGACAGGGGTAGGATACCTGCAAAGGCAGCACTCACACCTGGTGCCAGAGAGTCGTGACAGCACATTCTTGTCTCCCAGACAAAAGTGCCAGCCCACAGGGGACCTGGCAGTATGTCGCTGCAAGCCTGGGAATGGGAAGAGGAGGACCCAGTGAGCACGGAACCCATCTCTTCCACTGCCAGCTGCTACCAGTCCATGAGTGAGTGGAACGTGGAGGAATTCGTCAAGGCCAGGGCCCAGGAATCGGACACGGATTGCCAGGCGAGCAGCCTGCGGTCCTCAAGTGAGTCTGCTGGCACCTTCAGCTCCGATGTACCACATGTTGTGTCCTGCAAGTTCATCATCTCACTGGCTTTCCCAGCCAATTCTGGTAGGTGATGGGGTAGAATTCTTGCACCTGCTACACTAAGGAGGAAGTCTGGTAGCATAGTGGTTACAAGTCGGGCTGCTAATCTCACAGTCAGCAGTTCAAAACTACCAGTTATTCCGCAGGAGAAAGATGAGGCTTTCGGCTCCCTTGGAAACCCTTATACAGGGTCGCTATGAGTCCGTACCGACTCCACTGCACACTACCACCATGACCACTACACTAAGCAGGTATACAAATAACCTTCTCTTGGGAGTTTAGAACAGATGTCTCTTGTCTCACTTTTACCTCCTAGGGAGAAGGGTTGCAGAGCCACGAGTCCCACCCCAGAGGCCAGAAATAAAGCAGGTGGTGTTAACTTCTATTTAATTTGTTTGCAGATGAAGAAATCACAGCAAGGTTAAGGCATTGGTTTGTGCATCACCTAAATAGCTTGTTTAAAATACCAATTCTCAGTTCTCTTAAAGTTGAGTTTAAAGGTGTGTAAACAGCAGTTGCCATAGAAATGCTGTGTAAAAAACAAACTAAGTTCTTCAACGTGGTGCCTCCAAAGAGTTCTCCTGGCTGTGCATGTCAGTTGCTGTGGGCTTCATGTAGCTCTCATCCTCCAGGACAAGTGGACTAGCTCAGACATAGTCTTTCCAGGAAAAGGCAGATACACACATAGGGGCCAGCCATTCCAACACTCTTCAAGTCTCTGGGCCCATCCCACCTGCTAACATTTTGTTAAGAGTCCTGGTGTGGTGCTGCACGTTAATACGCTGAATTGCATGGTCAGTGGTTCAAATTCACCAGCCGCTTCTTGGAAACCCTATACAGGGTTGCTATGGGTAGGAACTGACTGAATTAATAACAACAATAACATTTTGTTGGCAAAGTTAGTTGCATTTTCAAAGGAGGGAACAGAGAGAAGCACCATACTTCCTTGTTTAAAAATTATTTTTATTGACGTTGACACCAATTCAGCAGTTTCTGTATGTCCAGTCCGTGACACTGATTGCATTCTAAAAGTGGTGCTGCCATTCTCACCCTCTTTTTCTGACTGGCTCTTCCTCACTGAGCATAAACGCATCACTTGCTAAGTGTTCTATCTAACCTTAGGGTTGCTGTTGACAATTTTATCCCACATAGATAGTTCTTGAAAAGAGTACAACACTCAAGACAGGCATTCTTTACTAATTAAACTATTGCTTGGTTAAAGAAGACTTTGGGGAAGGTTTCCGGTTTGAGATTTAAAAATTACCCAGGGTTCTTCCAGCCTCAGTAGTTCTGTAAAGTCTAGATTCTATGAGAAGTAGAAATTATGTTTTGTATTTTACGCCCTTTGGATCAGGATTCTTCTTGATCAAAGGGTTCAGTAATATGGTAGCTGGGCAAACATCCAGCTCTTGTCTCATGGCAAAGGAGGCATCCAGTCACACATTCTGTATCCTCCTCATAGAGACCAATTGTTGACTTTGGATAGTCACTTGCAAGCTTTTAAGACCCTTGCACGCACTGTGCAAGGAACTAGGAGGAAGAACAGAGGCACTAAACACCAGATTTGACCAATTAACTAGGATTTTCCATGAAACTCTGACTCTAAACCTCCAAACCAAGACCCCAAGTCCCATGAGATGTTTGTATTTGGTTGTGCACAGCAGCCTCAGCAGCTGCTAATATGTATGTTGTTGTTGTTGTTGTTAAGTGTTGTCCAGTTGGTTTTGGCTCATAGCAACCCCATATAGGGTTTCCAAGGAGAAGCTAGTGGATTTAAACCCCTGATCCTTGTGGTTAGCAGTCCACTGAACTGCAGGAGTATAAGGTTGAATACACACACACTCACACACAAGGATAAGTCAAAAAGTATCTGCATTCTGGTTGTAGAATTTATCTTCATCAACTTTTAGAAAAGATTTCTTGACAATCTTGCTTTTCAATTCACTTTGTCCATTTCAAGCTTTTGTATTCCCTTATTTAAAAATGTTTTAGGCTAAGCTGTGAGCCATGAATGCACTGCTGTCTTCTCTTCTGCATCAGAGGTGAATCTTCATCCTCAAAGGGTTGATTCAGGGGACCAAACAGGTGAAAGTCTGATGGAGCAAGATCAGGATTATAGAGAGGATGCTTTGACACCTCAAAATGAAGTTTTTGCAGAGTGTCAACAGTATGGGTAGAGGTGTGCGGACGCGCATTGTCACGCAAGATCATGACACCCTTGGATAGCAGTCCTCTGTGTTTAATCTGAAGTTTAGGCTTCAGTTCTTCAGTGAGCAGCATCTCACTGTAATGAGCACTGTTGATTGTTGAACCTTTTACCTTTTACAATACGGGTCCTTAAGAATCCCTGAAAACTGTAAACATTAATTTTCCAGATGAAGGCTAACTTTAGAACTTTTTTTTTGGTCAGCGATTGAGGATGCTGCCATTTAGTATACTCTCAGGCTGTAGTAATGAATCCATGTTTTGTCACTAGTAATTATTTTTTAAAAAGAACCTTTTACCTTCCTTCCAGTATTGGTCCAAATTTTGTTTGCAGATGTTCAAACACTTCTGTATATGCTCTTCCGTGAGTTGCTTTGGTATCCATCTCACACAAACTTTTCATAGTCTGTCAGAGATTATTTCATAGACAGAGCCATGGCTGATTTGCAAATGATTTGCCCATAATCCACTGTCACTTGTCTACTCAACAGAATCATTTCATATGTATGTTCACTGCTGTCATCAGCCGTGGATGTGAATGGGATTTTTAATATAACCAGAGTGTGGATAATTTTTTACTCACCTTCGTGTGTGTGTGTGTGTGTGTGCCTCACAAATATATATGTACATCACACAACATTTTCTGTCTGTACCATACCACAGTGATGATTAAATTAAACTTCTGTTCGTAGCTGATTGTTGCTTTATATATTTTGAAGGCTGTTAGGTGTGGCATTGTAGGATCAGTACTAGACTGCAAACCACAAGGTCAGAAGTTCAAACCCACCTGCTGCTCCTTGGAAACCCTGTACAGGGTCGC